TCTTCTGATGACTAAGCTTGTCGGTCAATAGCGACGATAGGCTCATCGCTGAGGCTCACTTCAAATCAGAGACAACAAAAACAGTTAGCAGAGTATGTGTGACTATCGAGACAGAGCTACGGATTTTATCTAGCATCCGCTCCATGGAAACAATATTTTACTGATTTTCGTAGCTTTGAGTCTGGGTGTGGGCGCGTTGTGTTGCGTCGATCTAGCAATCTAGCTCACGTGTTTGCTGTCATCACACATTGACTGACTGCGGTCAATGAGGTCATGACCTGGGTCTGACTGGGGTCATGCCTTTGACCCCGGTCAACGGTCAATGGGGTCATGGGTGACCCTAACAACACTGCTTACATCACTTACTAAGCGCCCATTGCCGAAGCGGAGTCGTCGACAGGCCGGAATTCTGGCCTGTCAACGACTCTGGTCACTCAAAAGGGATTTTGGAGCACTCCCATTGGCTGAAATGCTGACAAATGTTGCCCTTTAAGGTAATCTTTTAATCTCAGCTCTTCATGCCGAGTTTTTTGATGGCTTCAAGCCACACTAACTGAGCTCTTACTAGAGCCCCATTAAATGCGGAAAACTCCCAAAATATTGCTTCTTCATGCAATGCCCCTTGGGTACTGGTAGCAGTGTCCAGGTTAGGTATCTTTGAGAGTACTGAGGCATATAAGCAGATCTTGGTGTGTGTATGATGCTTGTACTAGACAGTTCCACATGTATGAGAGGCTCTGTGAAGTGGGGGATATCAAACATACAAAACGGCCATATATGGTTAGTCCCCTGCCCATTTGGGAAGTTGGCCATGCATGGCCTCTGCAGGACTGGATAAATAGCAGGAAAATCAGAGAAAAATCAGATAGTACTATGAATTCATATTGAGTTGACTGCTGAGGCTCCAATATGGCAGAAAACATATGAGAATGCAGAATGACCCATGCATAGCCTGATACAAGCCACTCTGTCAGTGAGTCTTGGTCCATCTTGTAAGAATCAGTATCACCTGGCAATTCCAGACAGAATCCTAGGCTATTCTGTTTGTTCAACTATTCAATAGGGCCCTGAAAAGGCAGGCTGCCAAGCTGTTGGGCTGAGTTTGAATGCAAGCCACAAGTGCATTAGTGACACTGTATTTGCTGTGCTATGGTCTCCCAAAAAATCAAAAACAATTGGGAAAATTCCCAGTCATGTATATGATGTCAGAGAGGCTTTACATAGTATGCTTTCCCATAGATTCATATAAATATAGCACCAGTCACAAAGCATATGACTCTGTGAACACTGGCTCGTTTGTTTTTCCTGTGATGCTTACCAACTGCCTATGAATTGTGTGACCAAACCTGCTATATGTGATAGTTTACATTCCCAAAATGGAAAGTCTGAGTTACCTGCTGTGTCTGGGCTCAGAAAATGCGGATAAAACAAGAGAATATTTTGAATGATTCCACTCAGGCTCACCATGAACTGTTTGCTGTAAGTATTGATTGGCTTCTGTCTAAACCCTTGGGCAGGCTATGGTGTATTCAGAAAATGGTGGACACCTGTGGCACAAAGGCCACAGTTCATGCAGAGCATGTTCATAATACTCACTCTGTGTCACATGTCAATAGCATAGCCATCAGAACTGTGGGTCCACAGAGCTTTTTCACACTGTAATGATCCTCCAAAGTGATACAAAGACATTGTACAAGTTGTGTTATGCAGTTACTACTGTTGTGAGAAAATCTATAGGCTAGCAATGTCATAAAGTGGGGCCACCACACTACCACACATAGTGTATCAAAGTCTTTGATGGTCTCTGCAATGCTAGATAAATGGTAGGAAATAAGATAAAATCAGACAATCCCATGACTTCACATTGTGCTGACTGTTGTAGGCCAATGCAAGACAGTACATCTCACATGTGCTAATGCAGATGCACATAGCCTGATGTCGGCAGCTCTATTGTAGCAGTCCAGTATAAGCATGTCTTTGACTAATCTTGTCAATATGAAGCAGTGCCATTTATATAGTATGATGGTGCTATGCTTGGTTGTTAGTCCCTCAGATGACTTTTGCCTGGAACATATCTAACCTCTGTATGCACTACCATCATCCTATTCTCATGCAATGGCCCTTGGTATGACTTCAGGAGTACTCTCATTTGCTGCAGCTGTTTCCTTTTACATGTGATTATAAAATATCAGCTACTCATGCTGGGTCCTTTCATGTTACATGGTAAGTGGAAAAATGAAACTTTAGACCAGGGTGTGAACATGTTTGATATATGAACAGCATTGGAAATATGAATATGTGGCAGTGTGCCTATTAGCACCCAATTTGGCAGTTGATCCTGGATGGTATCTGCCATGCCAGAGGAATGTCAGTATCAACATATGGTGTCTAATCCAAATATGGTACCATTGTATGTGCACACACAGTCCCCCAGAAAATGACACTGTTAATCAATTACCTTGGGAGTGTGTCTGAAGATAAAGAAATCCCTAGACTTATGACCAGAGAGCATGACCATTGATAATAGGCATTACTAGAATACCCAGGAGAGGCAACAATGACCCCATGTGCCAGTCTTAGTATGCAGGCTGTTGTTAGGGACAAGGCATTTTTACAAGGAATTCCACATATGTGATCTTTGAATAGGATAAGCAGCAGTTGTTATCATTCCTGCACTTTGTTATCATTATTTCATTTCCTTTTAATGTACTTCACTGTAGTATTCACAATGCCTTCTCACCACATTCAGGTGATCTTTTGCTCCTCACATTGTCATGCTTTGTAGCACTTGATTGTGTATGTACTGACTGGACTATTACCAGGCTCCTAGTACTTTCCTTAGGCCCCTTGTGACCAGATGATCTGAAAGCTGTTACTGGGTGACTATTAGCTCAGAATATTGATGATAATATTCCAGCTGGCAGGCAATTTATGAGTGGTTCATCAAGCTGTACACTGAATCTGAGTTTTCATAGGGCTACACTAGTGTTTCAGGTTGACATCCATGTGGTCCCTCATGTTTCACAGAGCACATGCTTGATGATCAGTGGCAATCATTAACACATATACCCTTGCCTTGCTTTTTCCTACTTTTTGAGCCTTATTGTGCATCTTGAATGGCCTGGGAAAGTGGTGTACTGAGTCTTCTACTATTTGGATTCTATGAAGTATTTTATGTAGCTAAGAGGTAGTGCACTTGGGAAATGCTCAAAAGGAGCATCCCTAAGAGCAAGTCCAACCATTTATCTCATCTACCACTTGCTGCTGTACTCCTCTGTACCTTCAATAGTCCCTGACATCAGTGATCAATCCTTCCCATGACTCTATCAGTCTTGATATCATACATTGGCCCATTACTGTTGGCTGAGCTCCACTCTAGTAACATACCTTAGTATGGCTTTGTACTACTGGTCAGTGCCTGGTAATCATTTATTTCAGTGTACAAATGGTGAGAGCAAACTGGACAGTCTTTGGTTGTATTCCTTGTATAACATGACAAATCTGGAAGGGCCTTTTTTCAGAATTCCTTACTGGTATACTTCTCTGTCTACTGGTGATTGGTTTGTACTTGGGGAAGTACTGTTAACAATCTATTGAAAGACATCCTTCTGTATCAGAAGTTCTCTCTGATCAAGGGCTAATACTTGTACAACAGCAAGTCCCAGCTGAGTAGTTGTTACTGTAGTCAACCTCCCAGATTCCCCTTCCTTGAGTTCTAGTTGATCTAGAGGCATACTTCTTTGCAACATTTCCAAGATATTTTCTCTTTGTTGATATCAACACAAACCAGTAATACTATTCATTAGTATTCTGGTAATATTGGTAATTAACTTGGCAATTCACCAAGTAAGAAACAGATTCATAATATCTGTGTTCTCAACAGTGAGTCTCATATGAACATGCAATAAGTTACTCAATTGGGATGTTACTCATGATTTCAAACTAAGATCCTCATATTAGAACAACCTAATAAATAAGCAGGCTACTCTGAATGTTTATGCCATGAGATTGTTGAGCTCGGAATTTATTCCGCATTTCTGCAAATTATTCTGAGCTCCATTGCCCTGTCCAAGTCGTGGAACGTGTCATGGTGTGTTCTCCTTTATTCTACATGGACCACATCACTATACCGTGCCTACTGTATTTTTTCCGATGTCATTCCCTTCAGTCTACCATTTTCCATAATGTTTGCATCTTCAGGGATTTGAACCCCTGCACTCATCCGATTTTTCACTGCTTTGTTGATTTCGACTTTGTGGCTGTTTCTACTGTACAGTTATGGTCGCCTTACATAACGCACACCATAGACAGTCCGCCTCATCGAGCTCTAAGTCCCTAAGACTTTACAGAGCTCGACTTAGGTGTGTATCTTTGATTCCTGAATATAAAAGACTTTACAGAGCTCGACTTAGGCCTTTGGAATCACTCTGAGGTGCACTGCAGCCAACAGAGATGGCAACTGGATGGTGCAAAATGTGGAAGATATGTCAGTTATGCAGACAATATACTAGCAGTCTTGCTGAGCTTAACTTCTGATGTGGTCAAAATGTTTAACTCACAAACTGACATGTATCCAACAAAAGGGATCGTACTGCCAGCTATGGCTCTCTCCCCAGCAAGTCTCCAAGCCTCTTACGCTCCAGACAGATGATGGTGCTGCAGTAGATCTGGTGGGTTGAGCGGTTGCACAGGGCCAATTTGCGGAGGGCACTATCGAACATTGGCAGGACACGCAAGAGAAGGTGGAGGACGCGGGGATCGTAGACCGGCATTCTGACAGAGGAAATGAGCAATTGAGGGTCGAGTTGAGCATTGGAAGAGTTGTTGTAGTGAGCAAAAGCCACAGCGTGGCTGCATGAGAAGTTTAGTTGGTGCTTTAGCGCTCACAACTGCTCACACGGCTCTCTGAACACTTTGAGAGCTCTTGAAGTGCTCAGTATCTTGCAACACACTGCTTGTGTGCTTGCCCCGTTTGAATATAAAATTCATTTACTGTTGCCCTACCATACTGTCTGGTACGCATACATACTGCCCCAATTATTAAGGTGAAAGCTATTGGCCTTGTCCAATACATTGTCAGAGGTCCAGTCTCCCGGAACAATACTTTGGGACCCAACGGGAAACGTAGGGATGAGCTGACAGGACTGATGACTTTGAGATAAAGGGATGATTTTCCCTTGAGGCATACCATCAGTTCTTGGAGGTGGCTTGCTCACGGAGTACATGAGGTGCCACGTAGGATCCGGGGCCCGGGAAAATCGAGCATACCATTCCACGTATGCGAGGGGCTCTTGCGGCCACCATGCGGGCGTGCCGCCACCTCCGTGCAATACTGGTAGAGTCTGGGGTAATTTGAAGACCACCTTGACTCTGGCTGCCCTCGTGCCTGCATTTGTAGTGAGCTGGTTGTTCACCTTGGTAAAACATTCAAAATTCCACATACCTCTGACACCAGTTGATTCCGCCTCGTCATTGTCAAGCAGAATGACGGTGTTGAACCGACTGTTTCTCCCCTTCGCAGAGGACCCAGGAATCACCTTCACCACGTTGACCTCAACCTTCCCATCCGACAACTCACAAGGTGTGAACTGAAACTTGTGATAAATGTCCACCCAGTCGATGGGCAGCCATGTTCGAGAGAGCTTGCGGCATGTGAGACGAAGTTCTGGCAGTTGAAGATCGTTCAGGTAATGGGCCAAGGCCGTCATGAATCCGGGAGTGTTGTGTTGCTCTTGGACCCGGCCAGGTATTACGGATAGATAACCCATTATCTGTCCATTAGATTAGAATCATTAGATTATGAACTGATAGTGTACATCTCATCTTATCTCAATGTACCTAGCCACCTGACTTCCATTTTGGGAAGTAATCTACTCTTTTAACCTGAACTACCACCTCGTCCGTGTGTGAACCCTTTGCACCATCCAAGTAAGTTCTCTGAGTCCTCGGCTAGGCTTGTTGCCCTGCCTAGGAACCATCCTCGGCTTAGGCTTGTCGCCTTCACTCAGGACTCCCCCTCGACTAGGCCCTACAGCCCAGTCTAGGACTCCCTGCTTGGCCCAGCTCATCGCTGGCAACCAACAACTTCTCCGTGCTCCCTATAGTAAGGCTCGTTGCCCTGCTAACGACTCTAGCAGGCGCTCCTCGCCCTGCTCACGACTCCAAGATCCCCATTTCCCCACTGGTCGTGTCGTGACCACCAACCATTAGGTTCACGAGGCAGCCCGGCCCCTGAATCTAGGGTTCTGAGCCCACGAGCCCTAACAGTTTGGTCTGGGTCACAAAAACGTGACCCATACCCGTACCCAGGCATACCCGTACCCACTACCCGCGCGGGTTCCCACGACCCGTGCTCTGCACTAGTTCGACACTTGCATGTTCAATCTCACTGGTTACGGGATGTGATTTGATTGAAGAACTTGGACATTGTACATATACCTGGTGCAAAACACCTACTGTACATGAGTGTTGTGGTCCAGGGGGAGTGTTGACCCAGGACCATGACACGCGCACATGACTTGGTGGCAGACTCAAACGGATGTGTTAGATGTAGAAACACCTCAGTCAAGTACTACCAGGACTCCGACTGAGGGGATTAGATTCCAGACTCACGTGGACTTTTGTATGCATGCTGATAGTGTCTGTAGCATAACTCTGTAACATTATCAGGTGTGGTAGCAATACAGTCGAGTACTACCAGGGCTCGACTGAGCATAACTCTGTAACATTAACAGCATCACTGAACAGATGTCTTATGTGGCCTGCTCAAACACCCCCACCCTTGATCGCACGCAGTAGACTGTGAGTACAACACTGGCATACATGTATCAATTCAACCTCATCTACGGCGAACCCCTCCCTATGTGGCAATGAGCATTTCCCTGGTTTGGTGTCATAGAGGCCTACCTAGTCCCCACAACTGTTTGCAAACTGCGGCAAGTTGAGTGAAGGGCACTGCAATGTCGGGGTCAAGTAACCGCGCATGTCCTCTAGTAATGGCCTGACTCCACTGCGTGATGTTAACAAACTGTCCCAGATTGGCAACCCAGACGTGGCTCGGGACAGCAGAGAATGAGTCGTTTTGTCGAAGAGGAAGTTGAAATGGATGGGTGTAATGATGGCTGGGGACCTGAATGTCGGAGCGGCCCCAATCAACTGCTCGCCAGGCAGTTGCATCACACTGCCCGCGGTTCTAAACAATGTTGGAAACAGTTCGGAAAATGACGCACTGATCTTAGATTCAGGCTGCTTGTCAATGGAGCAATTCAAAACCCCGCAATACCTCCCGAATCTAATGTGTCGATTTTGCTGACCACTGCAGGTCACCATTTGTGTGTGTTGGCTCCATTGTACGCAGCTGAACACTTTGAGTGAGTCGGCTGTATCCAAACCAGGCAGTGCGGTATGCAGGCTGACATGAAAGTGAATGGGGTTTTGTCTAGGGATGGAGGAATGAGACACGTCCTATGGCCAAAGACGGGCAGCAATTACAGTAGTGTATAAACACTGAACAGAGGTTTGCGATGGAACAGTTGACAGGTGTGAGAGGTATGTGATACTGAATGAATTTTGTGAAGATAGCGCAATGACTCGCTGTTGTCGTGGTTTGATCCAACCCTCCACTTTGTTGAATTATATGTACGTACAGTCAGTGGTACTGAAAAGTGGTAAATGGTATGCAGTAACACTGTCAATTCCCTTCAGTGGTTATCCATACCCATGCAATGCACTACCCTTCACCCACACAGCGATAAAAAGGGCTCCGTGTTGGTTGTGTAGCAGTAACGTCCGAGAATGAATGTTGCAGGCAACTTCTGACATGTACAGCTTCTACCCCCGCAAATGCCTTTTTCATTGCCAGAAAGTATCAAACACTCTGAAGTGCTTGCGGGATTTGCATGAGCACACTAAGCTGAACCCATAACTGGCCAATATTTTGATTTTGGGTACCTATGACTGGGGCAAGAGGTGTTGGTCGGAGCACGTGTTAAGCTAGTTAGCGGAGACCTCAGTCAACGTGAATAAACAAGACTATATTGATGTACCTAGATAGCGGAGACGACAGGTGCATTTCAGTAATGTAGAGAACTATGCAATGAGTGAACAGCTTACCCTCAGTTGACGTGAATGAATGACAGAGGGCATGCAAATACACGGAAGGAGTGGTGTCCCATACATGTGTGAGTGCCTATCTACCAGATATGGAAGGTACTGATGTACCACAACGAACATCATGTGTATTGTATGGTCATCTTTATTGAAATGCTCTAACATTACGATCCCTGAGGTACAAAGGAATTGTTCTTATGACTGGAGAGAATGTAACACTTAGCATGGAGCCCAATGTGGCAGGTTTTTCCCACAGTGCATGTGACTATTTGAGCACCAGATAACCTAGAATAAGTAACACTTACTATGGTCACATTAGCTGAGTTTCAAATTTCAGACTCCCAGACGATGCGACTTGCACCAACACTCCCAAACAAATGCTGTGGCTGACAATGCCCTATGGACTCCTGTAATGTCTAGCTGGAGCCCAATATGGAAAGTGGTGAACATGGTATGTGACCTCACCAGCAGCACTGGGCTCCAATATAATCAATTGCTTTTTGCAACAATAAGCACCCACAAATGGGTATGGCAAGCATATAGTCAACTTGTAGCCCTTGTTTCATAGAGTCTACAGTAAATTTATTGGGCCTCAATAGTGGGTGGTTAGGCCACAAAATGCAAAATACAGAAAAACACAAGTGACTTTGCAGAATTCAAACTGCTCATTTTCACCCTAGATATGTAGCACATGACCCATACAGTATAGCCATGTGTGTCAAACATCATGAAAATGCTTTATGCCATAACAGAGCTCAGAATGGGCAAGGACAGCTAATTTCAAGCTTGTACATGGTATTATTGCCAACCTTCCATATATGGTAATCCGTTGTAAACATCACAGGCCTCATCAACATCCCATAGTACTCTATGAATATTTCCTGATTTATCCACAAATTATAAAGCACCAGACATTCACTTTATTGAGAGTTACTGGATTTGGAAGGTTACTCACCATTTAGGGCAATGTGAGCTTTTGTGATGCTTCTTGTGCAATACTATATTGGTCCGAGATCTCAGCCAGGACAGGGAACTTGGTCAGTCGAGCCTAGGCAGTGAAGTTTCCATCTGTTTCGTGTAGTAAGCATACCAGTCAATAGCTGTAGTTGAAACAAACACAGCAATGTACCTTTTGTCTGAAATAACCCAGCCGTTCTTGAGCAATGCATGACTGACCGAGTTCCCTGTCCTGGCCAAGATCCCGGACCGATATAGTAGCCCTCCTACAACTTGCCTGAAATGCATATGTCATTGGTGAACACTAGTTACACTTCACTATATTTGTATACATGTCCCTGTTGTACCAGAACAGGCACAATAGCCACTGGGTCTAGCCAGTCACATGACCAATGACGTGGGGTCGCAACACTTGCAGCGGTGTTTTCGCCAAGAGGGGGGCGAGATCTGAATCGGAGACGTCCTCCTCACGAAAGGGGGGTGGGGGGGTGGTGTACGGGGTCCGGTTTTCAGCCACCAGCGTGAAGTGCAGTCGCTTTCGTTGAATTTTGTCTCTAGCTACTACACTCTGCACATCTCACTCTAGAAAACATGCATGTGTACTGAGAAGTATGCTAAGTACACGTGTAGGGTCCGAAGTCGACATAAACAAGGAGATCCAGAGGAGGAATTGAATAGTACGAAATGCGCTAAGTCACACGTGAAGCATACGGTCATGTGAGCTACGCGTCGGGTAAGTACGTGTGTTACATGGCGCGTGTCTCACTTGCATCAGTGACGCAAATTGGGCCAAAATGATTTAAAAAGATTACCGGGGATCGAACTAGCAACCACGATACGTACGGCGTCACTGTGCCCACTCCGTCACTCTGGCCTTACCACTTACTCAATATGCTTCCCTATGACAGTCAACGACGCCCCAGACATGACCTACTATGATTATGTGCCAACATGCACAGCGGGCGAAGGGTCAAATCATGGTTTGGCGAATACAATATGCTGTCACAGTGCCCAGAAGTTTTCTAGAAATCATTGAGGGATCCTCAGGGCACTTACAGCCTGCGGTCTCCAATGTCATATAACAGCACTTCGCTGGCGGCATTAGCAAAGGAGCTAGTCACCTGATATTGCCGAAGGAACTTCCTTTATAGGACTTGTACCTGGGCGCTCGTTATCGGGACCCCAACGGGAGCTCTGCCCCCGAAGACTGGGTACCCCCCCCTACCCAGTCTTCGGGGTCTCTGGGATTTGGGAGGAGGACGTCTGGAATTTTGTTATCGCCCCCCTCTTGGTTTTCGCTGCGACTGCTGCGACCCCACGTCATTGGTCATGTGACTTCGAAAAAGCGGTCAAAAATGCGCAGAATATTCATTCTGAGGACAAAACCTACTGATTTGGGCCCAGAAAAATCGCATAAATCCCCAATAAATCGGGGGACCTCTCTGTAGCTATCTTGAAGTACTTTGAGGTGGTATGATACCAATATGTCTACAATCACAGGTGCCACCCAATCAGCTTTCATGACACAATAGTAACAGTACCACATTGGGTGTTACCTGTGGCCACTCTATGATATCTTGGAGTGAATGCTCAAGATGAGAGCACAATGTTTAATGTTTGAGGACTCAGACAGTATGCCATT